TTTTGAGAAAAATTAAAATATATTCTTACGAATTAGTTTCCCCTAAGCATCTGACTAAAACTCTTGTAAATGATGGACTTTTGGGTAGTAGCTACGTCTTGCGGGCGTAGATGCAAATTGGCATAAATTATCGGAATATATGATTATACCAAACAAGAGTAATGCACAGAATATCCATCCGTGCATAGTATATAAACATAATGCAACATATTTTAAAGATGTAGACAAGGACTAGTTTCTACTTTACACAGTTACACGTTCATTAACTATCGAGTAAATGTGTATATAAATTTTGTTTAGAAAGTGATTAAATTATTGGAATCATTATACTTATGTCACATTTAATTTAGATTGCTTTAAGTTTGGTAAGATTCAATAAATGAGAAACCTAGAAAATCAGCGTTTTAACTTCACGCGGGTCAAGTAGATTTATGTTGCAATCATATATACTAGTAATAAAGTTTTATATTAGTACTAATAAAGTATTAATTATTCTAAACGCTAATGTGTAAAGCCCCGATTTGCAGTGTTTGTTAAAAACGTATATCAAACTTTTATATAACTACTAAGAAAAAAAAGAACAAACATATATCTTTCTGTCAGTGTTGTACAATGGAAGAATTTCAAACTTATTCGGCAATTATATGTCTGCGCAGGCGAAAGTAGAACATGTCCGAGTATACATATGTGTCACATGTTACGTAATATTGTTTTTAAGATTGACTGGCATGTCGATTTTTCCTTATTCTAAGATTCAAAGAGTTTGTTTTGGTGTGTTAATATTAATGATGTAGATGTACGTACGTACGCTCAAAATTGTTGATTTTTTATTTTATTTTTGTCACGAAACTGTTGATTTTTCCCCATTTAATCGAAAGAAAGTTATGATTTGTTACTCCATAAAATTAAAAGTAGCCTGGAAATATTAAGATTTTATTACGATTAATTAGAAAGGAAAAAAGTAGCAATGGTTACCTGAAAAGCAAACAACGGTTGATCATCTTTGGGCAAACTTTGAAGCTGACTTGTAACTAACTGAGCAAAAGCTGGATTTGGATAAACCAGATCTCCAAGTTCCTCCAACATGTACTCACTCGCCGCCGTCACAAATCCAGCTCCAGCGCCGTTACAGTCAACATCGAGCCGTCCAGAGCTAGGGTTCAGGCGGAGTCTCCCGGCCAAGAACTCGTAGACATTCATGGCTCTCACCAACGCCTTTCTCAGCTTCTCCGACACAATCTCCGGAGGAAAGTCCTTGTTTGGTCGGAAGAAATGTACCGTTTGGACATCAAAGTTGAGAACTTGGTCGACGTTGGACAAGAACATAGATTTTCTCTTGTGGGTTTCTTCCGATGGGAATATGAGTAATGATTCTTTGATCGTCACTTTGAGATCTTGCAGAAGCAATGATGGAGATTCTTGGTTCGAAGCACCCATTTTTCACAA